CAACACATATAAGTGTTGAGAGGTGGTGGTGATTTTCCAAAAAATGTCTGGCCACAGGTTTGTCTCTGTAGGCAAGCCGTATACTTGACCTGATCCTTTCACAGAGTGCAGTTTCAGTTTTTCCAATATAATTAAAGGCCACAAGGGCAAGTCAACTTATAAACTCCATACTCTGTTCTACAGTGTATCCCATGTTTTATTTTATAGAATTTTCCCGTTTGGGGGTGACAAAAAGTCTTGGATGGTATAATATGCCCACACGTCACACAACCCAAACAACTTACACAGCCCAAGTTCACCACATCCTGATTTACAGGCTGATAGCAGTCTTTTAAGTTTCTGTTACGTCTATAGCAGATCATGGGTTTCTGTTCCACACAATTCCAGGAAGAGTAGCATCCGTTTGCAGGATATTCCAGTTTCGATCAAATGAAGATTTATTTTTATTTTTTTATATCTCTTTTTATTATCAGATTTTTCACCATAAATACATTGTACAAAAAAGTATTTAAAAAGCATTCAAATTCATACACATAAACACAGAGAGAAAAAAAAAAAAAAAAACAAAGCTACCCACCTCCCCACGAGAGTTCTACTGACTTCCAACTTCTCTATCTCTTTTCAAATGATATTAATATTACAATTGTAGTAATTTTTTTCCCCAATTTTCCCATAGGCTCAAATTATCATTCAGAAGCTTGCAATGATCCTTCTCCATTTTAAGTTGGTAAACCAACTGAATTGTTATTAATTTTATGTTAAAAGAGGTATCTCCCTTCCAATTTCTTGCTATTATTATTTTACAGGCCATTAAACAATGAATAATTAAAAATTGATTTATTTTATTTAATTTTGGCCATTTGTAATGTAATAACATTATTTCAGGTTTTAGAGACATTTTAACACCGCACAGTGTATGGATGATAAATTGAGCCCACTGCCATACAACAATCACTTGTTTACATGACCACCACATATGGATATAGTTTCCTTTTTCCTCTCTACATTTCCAACACTTTGTGTCCCTAGATGCATCAAATTTAGCTATTTTCGTTGGCGTCATATACCATTGATTAGCCAACTTGAAATGTGTTTCTATCAATACAAAAGAGTGGACATATTTATTGATTTTTTGTAGGGTAGATAGCCATTCAGATAATTCTATATTTATTTTTAATTCAATATTCCATTTTTTAATAGCAATGGGCGGGACAGAATCATCCATTGGGTCCAACATTCTAACACATCTAGAGAACAGCTGCTTTGTCTTATTCTGGTATAAGATTGATTTTAATATATCATACATCTTACCCTCTTTTACTAACTCAACTTTCTCCAAATAATGTTTTAAATCAAATGAAGATTTAAAGGCTGTGCTGGCTGTATGGAATTTCATTGGAAAAACTGTTCTAGACAATACTTTATCCATTTTTCTAGTTTCTCGAACATCAGTATATTTCATCCTGGCCTCATCCAAGGTTCATGCGAGTGTGTGCTTTTTATACCCTCATGCAGTGCATCTGTCATACATTATTTTTAACTGTTCAGTCTATTGATCTTCCACTGAATTATTTCTAAAAACTCTAAGGAACTGAGACAGGGGGAGGGAATCCTTGAGACGTTTAGGGTGAGCACGCTCATAATGGAGAATTGTGTTCCTATACGTAGGTTTGGTGTATAATGTGTGCTTAAAGGGACACTATAGTCACCTGAACAACTTTAGCTTAATGAAGCAGTTTTGGTGTATAGAACATGCCCCTGCAGCCTCACTGCTCAATCCTCTGCCATTTAGGAGTTAAATCCCTTTGTTTATGAACCCTAGTCACACCTCCCTGCATGTGACTTGCACAGCCTTCCATAAACACTTCCTGTAAAGAGAGCCCTATTTAGGCTTTCTTTATTGCAAGTTCTGTTTAATTAAGATTTTCTTATCCCCTGCTATGTTAATAGCTTGCTAGACCCTGCAAGAGCCTCCTGTATGTGATTAAAGTTCAATTTAGAGATTGAGATACAATTATTTAAGGTAAATTACATCAGGCTCTGTCAATCATAGCCAGGGTAGGTGTTGCTAGGGCTGCATAAACAGAAACAAACTGATTCAACTCCTAAATTACAGTGAATTGAGCAATGAAATTGCAAGGGAATGATCTATACCCTAAAATTGCTTTATTTAGCTAAAGTAATTTAGGTGACTATAGTGTTCATTTAAGTTTTCCTTCCTTTAATGACAACTCAACATCAAGAAATTGTATATTCTCAGGATCAATCTTTGATGTAACCTTAAGTGGTGTGGATAAGCCATTAATGTATTCCACAAATCTTTGGGCCTCATCTTCTGTGTAATTCCAAAGGATTAAAACATCATCAATAAAGCGATAGTACTTAATGATCTGATGTTTATATTGTTGCATAATGTATTTCTCCTCAAAGACATACATAAATGTATTTGCGTACATGGTGGCCATTGCTGACCCTATCGAGGTAGCAGAGCTCTGCAAATACCAATTACTCTGGAATCAAAAAAAATTGCACTGTAGAGCCAGTGGTAGTAGTTCCAAGAAAATTCAATTGCTGGGCCCTCAATTGCCTCAATACCATCTTCGTGAGGAATAATGGTGTACAAACTATTTACATCCATTGTAATTAATACACAATGGAACTCCCTTACCATCGTAAGGTCCCTAAGGAGTCTGCTCGTATCCTTGATACAGGTGGGGATTACCATCACCGAATCTTTCAAAAGATAATCCACGTACTTAGCAATTGGTTCAAGGATACAATCAGGCCCGGACTGGCAATCGGGCATACCGGGCAAATGCCCGGTGGGCCGCCATGGCCGTGGGGCCGAGGACGGCAGTGGATCTCCCCTGCAGGGCCAGCGCTACCCGAGCGCCAGCCCTGCATAGTGCCTCCATGGGCCGGTGGGGAGATCAAAGATCTCCCACACCGGCCCACAGACAGGGAGATGCGGCCGCAGTCTGAGGAGGGAGTGAGGGAGGCAGGAGAGAGGACCCGGCAGAGCTCTAACCAGCAGCTCCGCCGGGTCCTCTCGCGGGATTCTGAGCGTTGCCACGGTTACCACGGCAACGCTCAGATCTCGCAAGAGTGAACTCTAGCCTGGAGGCTAGAGTTCACTCTCACCACTGGACCACCAGGGAAGGCAGCACAGCTCCACTCCATGGCAGTATGGCTCCTCCTCTCCATGGAAACCAGGCTCCCCACCCCCTCCCAAGGTAAGAACGGAGAAGGGGATATAACTTTTTTAATTATATATATAAAAAGAATATATTTAAATGTAATTAAACACTCACACACAGCACCCAAACACACAGCACTCAGACACACACAGCACTCAGACACACACAGCACTCAGACACACACAGCACCCAAACACACAGCACTCAGACACACACAGCACTCAGACACACACAGCACCCAAACACACAGCACTCAGACACACAGAGCACTCAGACACACACAGCACCCTCAGACACACACACACACAGCACCCTCAGACACACACAGCACCCAAACACACACACACCCAGACACACACCCAGACACACACAGCACCCCCAGACACACAGCACACCCCCAGACACACACAGCAACTCCCCAGACACACACACAAAGCAACTCCAGACACACCACAGCACCCAGAAACACACAGCACCCTCAGACACACACAGCACCCAGACACACACAGCAGACACAGACCACACACAGCACCCAGACAGAAACACACAGCACTCAGACACACACACAGCACCCAGAAACACACAGCACCCAGACACACACAACGCACATACACACACAGCACCCAGACACACACAGCACCCAGACACACACAGCACCCCCAGACACACACAGCACCCAAACACACACAGCGCACCCAGACACACACAGCACCCAAACACACACAGCACCCAGACACACACAGCGCACCCAGACACACACAGCACCCCCAGACACAAACAGCACTCAGAAACACACAGCACCCTAAGACACACACAGCACCCAGACACACACAGCACCCTCAGACACACACACACACAGCACCCTCAGACACACACTGCTCACCCAGATAGACACTGCTCCCTCAGAGAGACAGCACCCTCACTCACACAGCACCCACACACAGCACACTCCCACACGTATACAGCACACACACACACATATATATATAATAAATAAAATAACCCTCAGTGAGTTAACAGACAAAAAAATTTAGAAACCTAGAATGTGATGGCAGATAAAAACACCTTCACACACAGCATCCCTCTTACACACACACACACACTGAGCCCCTCACACATACAATACGTCCAAATATAAATATATATATACACACTACAGCAACCCTCACACGGCACCACTACACACATTACGCTCCAGATACATGCTAGATCCCTTACCTATATGCACTGTTAATCCTCTACACACAAACACACACACATACAATCTCCTATACACACTCTGAGTCCTTTACACACTAGATCTCCTACACACACACTGCCCCTAGCCACACATATTACACCACAAACACAAATTAAATTGACCTATTTATACAAAACCACACCACACTCTACACACACGCAATCCCACAAGCAGGTTCCAAACACATGCACCATACGCTTTCCTGGCCCTTTTGTCCACTGGTATCCCACTTGTGGAAACACCAGAGACAATTTAAAAGCAAACACAGCGCAAGCATATTATTAAATTTGCTTGCGCTGCGCAGAACAAATACAGGGCCTTTTTCTAATGCTAGAGCTCTTTAGCAGGGCTCTGCGCATTGAACCAACATGCTCACTTTGAGAGGGGGCGTGTTTGTCTCTAGCCCCGTCCCCTACTTCGGGGGCCGCTCTGATTGAAAAATGCCCGGGCCTAATTTTTTTCCCAGTCTGGCCCTGGATCCAATCCACTGCTGACACTATTGGGCGTCCTGAGGGATCCCTCAGGTTCTTGTGAATTTTTGGAAGTGTGTAAATGATTGGAGTTCAGGGATTCTTCTTCTGTAGAAAAAGGAACAGGTTAAGGTCAATGTGGCCTGCTCTTAGGCCAAGTGTGAGGATGTCCTCAATTTTTGTGCAATTTTCAGAGTGGGATGTGGTTTGATCTTGAAGCTGTCTAAGGATCTCGTGGGCATTAGCTGTATGATTCAAGATCACTATCCCACTGCCTTTATCCACAGAGGGGCAGAGCGAGATGCCGCAGCGTGGTGTGCTGCTTCCTCGTGGAACGCGGCTGAGGGAGTGATCGAGGGAGCTGAGGAAACAATCCGACTTGGTGTGCCACTCGGGGTGCTGCAAAACAGAGATGATGCAGGGGGATGTAGAGAGCCTTCCTCGCGCCAGATAAAGCCACAGCCAGCCAAATAATACAAGGGAGCGAACCTTTGTGAACACATCCAAAGTGAATATAGAACAATGCCAACAGGAGAAAAACAGCAAGTGAGAGCACACCTTCATAAGCTCAGTGGAAATAGCTACCAATTTTCTGTCTTTTTTTTCTATGCTTATTCTGTAGAGGCTGGTAAAAAGCATTGAGTCTCCTGACAATTAGTGAACCCCTTAGAAGAGGGGAATTAGAGATATGATAGCGAGCTGCATATAAGTGGCAATATAAGATTTAAAGACTATTTAAACTAGTTAATCTAAGTGAATCTGGGACAGATTACTAAAAAGGTCTGCAGTGAGCCACGTGGAGTTACCCAGTGGCTCTTGTCACTTAAAGTGCCTTCTCTCTTATTTATTGTCTGTATCTTTCTCTTTGCTTATATAACAGTTTCCACCTATCCCATATTTCTGTTACTTAGCGCAACAGAATAGGAAGGAAAGAGAGGAAAAAAGGAAAGAGAGGGAAAGAGAAGGAAAGGAAGGAAAGGAAGGAAAGGAAGGAAAAAAATTAGTAATTGCTAGGAGAGAAAGGTGAAGGTGGGAGTGAAGGTGTGGAGTAGTCGGGGAGCAAGAAACGCAAGACAGGAAAGGGCACTATACTAAAAGTAAAGATAGCACTAGCCTAAAAGAGCATATAACTTTCAGAAGAAAGAGCTAAAATAAAATATAAAAACAAATTAAAACACAAATGGCTACAAAAAAGACACAAAAGGCCTGAAAATAAAACAGAAAAACACATTTCCTTCTTTTCCCCAAACCTATCAAGTAATAATACAAACTTGGAGGAATCTCTTCTCTCTAATATTCCATTAGAGGAAGGCATAAATAAAGGACAAGCGGAAGAAACTCAAGAATCAAAAGAAGGAAGAAATGAATATGACAACTTACTCAGACACTTAGATACATAATTTATAAATCTGAGAGAAGAAATCCAAGCTAACACTCTAGACATAAAGAAAGAACTGTCGATTCTTAACCAACGTTTCCTGGGCATAGAAGAAAAACTAAATGGATTGGAACAAAAGGAAAATGTCCACAAAAAAGAACATTTGATGCTGGAAAAAAAAGATGGCTGTCATATATTCATGGATGAATAATGGTTTTCACTGTACAGGGCAGATGGCAGACTGTGTGTATGGCGTCGTGGGGGTGAGCGGTTTGCTGATGTCAACGTTGTGGATCGACTGGCCCATGGTAGCGGTGGGGTTATGGTATGGGCAGGCGTATGTTATGTACAATGAACACAGGTGCATTTTATTGATGGCACTTTGAATGCACAGAGATACTGTGACAAGATCATGAGGCACATTGTTGTGCATTCATCCACGACCATCACCTCACGTTGCAGCATGATAATGCACTGCCCTATATTGCAAGGATCTGTACACAACTCCTGGAAGCTGAAAACATCCCAGTTCTTGCATGGCTAGCATACTCACCAGATATGTCACCCATTGAGCATGTTTGGGATGCTCTAGATCGGCGTATACGACAGCGTGTTCCTGATCCTGCCAATATCCAGCAACTTCGCACAGCCATTGAAGAAGAATGGACCAACATTCCACAGGCCACAATAAACAAACTGATCAACTCTATGCAAAGGAGATATGTTACACTGCGTGAGGCAAATTGTGGTCACACCAGATACTGACTGGTTTTCGGACCCCCACCAGTCCTCCCAATACAGTAAAACTGCACATTTTAGAGTGGCCTTTTATTGTGACCAGCTTAAGGCACACCTGTGCAATAATCATGCTGTCTAATTAGCATCTTGATATGCCACACCTGGAGGTGGATGGATTATCTCGGCAAAGGAGAAGTGCTCCCTAACACAGATTTGGACAGATTTATGAAATTGTCCTTTTGTGTAAATAGGAAAAGTCTTAGATCTTTGAGTCCAGCTCATGAATAATGGGGGCAAAATCAAAAGTGTTGCGTTTATAATTTTGTTCAGTGTATTTATATTAGGATATGCTGTAATATTGCAGAGATCATTAAATATTTCCCTTACTGGTACATCTGCCTTTCATTTGATTTACCATTTATGTACTGCATTCATTACAGTTTGTTGCTCGATTGACATTCGTGAAAGGGGCCAAATTAATAATTTTCTGAAGATGTTTTTTTATGTTCAGTTTGGTCATCATTAATGCATTCATTTTATAAAATTCGGATTGCTACTAAATTCTAAAGATCGTTGGCAAAAAAAATAAAATTAAAAAGTGTCTTTACAAAATTAGTATCTTTAAAAAACAAAAACAAAGGTTTAATGGTTTTTCAATCAATTTTCTGCTTTTTTTTACCCACTTTATTAAACAAAATAGTCTGTAGGTTTTAGGGATTTTGCACTAAATATTCGAGATGATGTGCATGCACCTCTCCATTAAGTGTTCCTTCAGAGCGGTGGTTGCAGGTTATTTGTTATAACAGCAATTTACATTCATGGGCAAATTAGAATTCAGTACATCCTGTGATCCATGTGTACGATTATGCTTCAGTACATATTTATGAAGCTTGATTCTCTAAGCAACTATGTTTGTTCAAATTGCATACCATTTACATGCTGAATTGCTTTTCTCCTGCTTGTTTTAGGGGAAAATTTACTTACAGTACTTGTTAAAAACTTAAAAGCTAAAAATTAATGTATTCTCTAACTATCCATGGTAACATAATATCTTGATAAATCCTCCCTCCTAGCAGATGGAGGAGAAAAAACATGTTCAATCTCTTATTTCTCACTCCCTGTATTATCCCCCTGTGGAGGAATATTTCATTTAGTCCCCTTTGGTTGGAATACACATATTATTTTATTTATGCCCCAAGCAGTAGTACATGATACATTGCGTACTGCAATGGCACTGTCTCCATAATTTTCTAAGAGAAACTCCCTGGACACTGGGAAAAGCTTGATTAAAATGTTTTATGTAACACATTTTGTTTTACAAATCATTATTATTAAAAAAAAATGTTTATTAATTATTGTTATGGATAGGGTTAATATTTAGGCTTGAGGATATGGATTACATTTATTTCCATTAGAATAATAATTTAGGGTTCAGTATTTAAGGCTAGAAAATTGAAATTGGGTTTTTTACGTTTAGCATACTTAACTCCCTTTGAAAATAGTAGTTAGCTTAGACATGGTATGGCCCTATGGTTTGACTATATCCCCATATTTGTTTGCTTAACATTGTTTTTTTGTTTATGCACTCTTCCCTTAATATAAAATAGTACCGAATTAGCTCATCTCATCAGTTACATTTTTGCCAAAGTTGATGAGCAAACATTTAGATAGTAAATGGACTCTTAATAATGTCTGTATTAGTTTGCCTTTGTCACAATAAAAAGAGTATTTACTAAAATGTCCTTACTAATTTGTTGACTCAAATCTCAATGTATCTTTCCTGGTAAAATATTTTATAAATAAATAAATGTGTAAGAAATTCACTAAATTGGTGGGATCTCTCTATCTAACACACTACTGTAAAGCTGCTGTACTTTCCCAAATGTTAATGTCACATGTCTCTTTCTGGAAAGCGAAAGGTACATAATGTCATGGTACACCCAGAGGCAAGTTTATCCAAAAATATTAAATAATTTGAAAACAATATCCAAAAATATTAAGATGTTGAATATTTCTAAACCAATAAGAAACATACTAACTTCATTTAACTGGCAGCTAAAATAGCAATAGTGAGAGGGATACTAAAACCATTTTGAGAGTGGGGATTTTTCTGGTGTAAAAGGTTTGGATTCCAGGTTGCTTACCTGAAATCCAGCGCTGGGTGACGCTCCCGGCATTACTCTGCCTCTCCCGTTCTGACATCACTTGAGCTGTGCACAGTGCAACAACAGAAGCCTGTTGCAGTTCCTTTTATGTTAATCAGGTGTGTTGCATGATTTCTAGTCCCAACTAGCCCACGTTATTCCTACAAACTTTTTACAGTACTTTTTGGGGTAACGTGGATCAATTAAATAACACTTAACAATTCAAATAGTGTTTTTGTCCAAATACTCTTGCTCAGTGATGGTTTCAATTGTGGTTTCTGATTTGTGTTTTTTCTTTGAATTTATGACCTTTATTATTGGTCTTGGCTTGTTTAACCCCTTAAGGACTGGACTGTTTTTGCGATGTTGTACATTTGCGACCAGCCATATTTTTACACTTTTGTGGTGTTTGTGTTTGGCTGTAATTTTCCGCTTTCTCATTTACTGTTCCCATACAAATTATATATTGTTTTTTTAAGGACAAAAGGGGCTTTCTTTACATACCATTATTTATATAATCTCATGTATTTTAATTTAAAAAAAAATGATGAAAAATTGAAAAAAATACATGTTTTTTTACTTTTACTTGAAAAATCTTTTACTCATGTACAAAAGCGAATGAAAAAAACTGCTAAATAGATTCAAAATTTTGTCCTGAGTTTAAAAATACCTAGTGTTTACGTGCTTTTTTGCTTTTTTTTGCATGTTATAGGGCTATAGGTACAAGTAGGATATTGCGGTTTCAAAACATACATTTTAAAATTTATCAATAGTGACATTGTAACACTATTATCTGTCATAAATCTCTGAATAACAGATAACGCCCCCACATGTACATATTTTTTAAAGAGTAGACAACCCAGGGTATTCAATGGCAGGTATATTCAGTGCACATGCCCATGAGATTACGAGAACTTTTATTTCCAAAGTAAGCATTCATATTTGTTTGTGTCAGCCGAAAAAAGTAAAAAAACCAAATTGAGCATAAAATTTTTGGCCAGTGTTTGTGACCAAGTGGTTACTAAAAGGCTAGGACATACCCACGTACATTACCTTGGGTTGGCAACTTCTTGCAAATGGTATGCCATCATGGGGGTAATTCTCATTCCTGGGCTACCATACGCTCTCAAAGGCAACGTAACCAACCTGGCCATTTCAATGTAAAAATATTTGACCCATATATTTGACCTTGTAACTTTCAAAAATGCTATAAAACCTGTACATGGGGGGTACTGTTTTATTCGGGAGACATCGCTGAACACAAATATTAGTGTTTAAAAACTGGAAAACGTATCACAACAATT